GCTGAATGCTGCGTTATGTACTCCTGACCCCTGAACTCTGCATTACTTACTCCTAACCTCTGAATGCTGCGTTATGTGCTCCTGAGCCCTGAACTCTGCATTACTTACTCCTAACCTCTGAACTCCTTGTCATGTACTTCTGACCCCTGAACTCTGCGCTACTTACTCCTAACCTCTCAATGCTGCGTTATGTACTCCTGACCCCTGAACTCTGCATTACTTACTCCTAATCTCTCAGCACTGCATTACCTACTTCTGGCCCCTGAACTCTTGATTACTTTTTCCTAAACTCTGTGGATGCATGGCAAATGCGTCAAAACGCGCACAAACATGATGACTGGTAACGTGAAAATAAAATGTGAACAGGGCCTTAGACTGGGGTGCCTTTACATTTTGTGTAATTTAAAAGTGTACCGTGGTTTAAAAAAATTTGAGAAACACTGTTTTAGTGTAAAAAAACACTAGACACGAAGATGACCCATTTTATCTCTTGATCAGGTGATGATCCTATGTCTATGACATATGTCTATGACTGAAGCCAGTCTATGTCTACTGGCTGGCTGTTCTAAACAATATATCAGACAAGTTAGTGAGCTTTGTTTTGCGAATGTTACTTCTATCCTGCAAATAAGTAATTGGGAGACCTTTTGGACTTTCCTGTAAACACCTCCTTTTCTGGTGGCGGCTACGCATATGTATTCGTGACGCACCCCTTTACCCTGAAAGCAGTAAGTTCATGCCTGTTACTGTCCTATAAAGTTTATGGGTACCCTTATGTCCAATAAAGAGGACCAGTCGTGGACAGTTTCTAAATCAGTAAATATTTGTTATTACACAGTGACAGCTCCCAGTGCAACATGTTACCCTTTGATTTGTTATCTCAGTATATTCTGAAGAAGGTACATAGCTGGATACCTCTTGTTTCTGTTTCCTTGGAAACTGCAGAGAACTTTGTCAGTTGAACGCTTGAATTCTGCCATGACAAGAACAAATGAGATCTTTAACTAAAATAACAATGACATGAAGTGGAACTGCCACTTTTGCAAACACCCAGCTACCTGTCAGCAGTGAAAATATGAATGTTAAATGAAAGGATAAGAACGCTGTCCATTGCACACTTTTTATTATACACTGAGATTATGATTACAGGTATTAAAAGATAAAAAGCCCAAGCTTGTCAGATACATGCACTAAAACATTTTCTGTTTTTGGATTTGCAAAACTGCGGAGTGCACAGCACACAGCAGTTATCTGCAATCCCCAAAGGCTTCAATACATTTTGGCACAATGTAACACTGAGGTTCACATAAAGCAAGCACAAAATGTTTGTGAGCCATAACTAAATGTCTATATTTATTAATTAAACTGTATATAGGTTTAGGAATTATTAGATTATAGAAATTTTAGATTAAAGAAATCTTTAGTTGTCACAGTCAGGGGCATTCCCATAATGAGGCAGCCTGAGGCAGTAGTCTCAGGCGGCATCCCATTGGGGGCAGCAGCACAGCCGACCATCCCCCACCACCACCTCCTGCCCGGCTAACAGCTCGGCCGGCAGTCGCCTCCTGCTGGGCTGACACCTCGGCTTAAACCACCTTTCACCCTTCTCCTCACCGCCTATGGCGCCCTAGCCACAACTTACAATTAGGAGTTGATGTATAAAAACTTCTGCCCAGCCAATAGCTGTGTGAAGACCGTTTGCATGGCATTACAGCCAACACATGGAGCTAGAGGAGCACAACAATTTCCTATGCTCCTTTGCTCCACCTAAAGAAAGTAATGTTTCTGAATGGCTTTTGCCCAGCTAGTTTAGTTTTGGATAGAGTAAGGAAGGGTAGAGTCTCTGTAAAATTCTAAATGCTGCTGAGACATTGACCATTACTTCCTGTCTAGATGACCACCCAGGAGGTCAGGGGAAAGCTTAACAGGGATACAAAATGCAGTAAATGCTTAATATAGGTTCTAACCTTTCTGAATTTTTATCCAAAAAGAAAACATTTTGCAAATGTTATACTTTTACAGCTGATTCTTATCTTTTTTGTTTCCATTAAAGGCCATCTCCAAAATAAATAAAAAAACTACCTTTGCGCTGGGGCTACCCCTGCACTAAAAAGGTTAACTGCTTGTTTATGTCTAGGGCATCTGTGTAAAGGAATTTTACCTACCTGATCCCCACTCCCGGAGGCTCCAAGAGCCTGCAGCCTCTTTCCTCCTGCGCTCCAGTGGTCGGAGGTGTGCTGATGTCATCTCGTCTTATGCAGGGCCAATAGCCAGGGATCAGGGATCTTTACACAATACTCCTAGACAATAACCAGTAGTTAACCCTAGCAGCGCGGATATAGCCCCACTGCAAGGGTAGTTTTGTTTTGCCACGGAGATAATGTTCGTGTAACTTCCAACACTGCTGATTAATGTTAATGGAACCAGGAACAATCCCTTATATTTTGGCCAAAGAGCTTCATCTTGACAGTGGTGCTGTACTATGAGTTCTGACTGTCAGAATGTTTTTATAGGACCACCTATCTCTACCACTACTCTACTGTATCCAAAAGAGCCCTAGTGATGAATCCAGATCAAACAAATATACTGTATATTGCCCAGCAAGACTAATTCCTATTTCAGGCTGAGCCTTTGTAACTAAGGTGAAGCTGTGTTCACTTTTAACAAAAACAATTATGTGCAAGGGAAATGATGAAAAAATAATTTCCCTTGCAAAATCCTTGGAGGATTTTGGTTTGCAGATGATTCAAGAATTGAATTAAGCACAGTTTTGCCTCATTTACTAAACAAACGGAACACTTAATCTCCCAATTGGGGAGTTCACACCACAAAGTCTCCGTTCCAGAGCGCTCGGCCTCTGGAACGCACTGGAATGCAAGCCGGACTTTGTGGTGTGAACCGGCCCTTATGCTAGTTCACATGGGTTCCAACTTGTATAAGAGCAGTGTGAACAGCAACAGGGTTATTCACAAAAGGGTGAAGAGTTTGGAGAAGGCAGGAGAAGTGAACCATCTAGGACAACATAGCTGAAATGGAAAAATTCTCCAATTCAGCTCACTTTCCAGTTTAGCTATGTTGTCCTAGATTGTTCACTTCCCCTGCCTTATCCAAAGTCTTCACAGTGTGCTGAATAACTCTGTACGTTTTCAGCAAGCTTTTGCAAAGCATTTGGCAAGCTTCAAGCACCCTGCAGCTCCAGTTTGGGAATGTTAAACATACAGGTGAAACTTGAATAATTAAAATATTGTGCAAAAGTTCATTTATTTCACTAATGCAACTTAAAAGGTGAAACTAATACATGAGATAGACTCATTACATGCAAAGCAAGATAGTTCAAGCCGTGATTTGTCATAATTGTGATGATGATTATGGTTTACAGCTCATGAAAACCCCAAATGGAAGAATTTGTGTCTAGAGTTGAGCTTTAAGCCCCTTTCACACAGGCAGTTTGTTTGGGGCCGCATGTCAGTTTTTCAGGAGGACATGATTGGATGCTCTATGCTAGTCTGTGGGCAGCCAGGTCTAAACCGAGGGGCGTCCGTTTACATCCAGTTACCCCCGACTCCGGCCAGATCCGGAAAAACAAACAGAATACAGTTCTGTTTCAACGGACCTGACTATGCTGGATCAGGAGTAATCCAGACATCCCAAGTCTCCCGGACGGTCCGGGAGTCTCCCGCTATTAGATAGCAGCTCCCGGACGCCCGCAAGAGAGACATTTTATCCCGGAAAGGATTGAAACCTTTCCGGGGTCTGCTGCGCTCACTAGTTCTGCTGATTGTACATAAAGTTTTTAGCTGTAAGGGGAAAAAAAGATCGTGCCTGCAGATCCTGTAACGGTGGCTGGTCAGTGGCAGGGGTTTAGGCACGGCAGGGCGGCCTGTGATTGGCTGGAGACAAAACTCCCCGAGCTAGCTCTGCAGCCACCTTGTGATGAGTGCCAAGGGGGAGCCGATAGAAGACGCCTGTGGAGGGTGAGTGGTACACTTCCTAGTCTTGTTATATACTGTAGTGTTAATAATCACAAATAAAATAAAAACCTAATGTAAATAACATAAAATAATATAATAATAAAATGTAGCCTGCTATTGGCTATTGCAATTTGAAATGACCAATAGCAGCCTAGCTAATAATTCCCCCTGCTATTTAGTTATTTTATTGAGACGGTGGCCGACGGCCGCTGTCAAAATAAAAAAAAACAGAGAAGGTACCTCCCTGAAATGAGAAGGGCACCTCCCTGAAATAAGGTTTTGCAGGTTGGGATGTCTGGTAATCTGATATATATCTGATTCCCCATAGACTGACATGGGGTCAGGTCATTTCAATTGAAAAAACTGGACGGACACGGATGTCACAGCGATGACATCTGATCCATACCGCTCAGATCAGGAAAGGATCCATACATGTATCTCCTGATCAGCATGTGTAAATGGGGCCTTAAAGTGACAGTCAGCACTTCAGTTATTTGCACAATACTTTTTTTCCACTGCACCACAACGCATTGTGGTACCATACATGGCAGTGTTCTGTGACCAGGAGGTGCATTGGGGTGACATTCAAATGAATGGCAACACACGTAACATAGTCTAGCTGCATTCAAGCATGCGTTAATGGCTATAGCTTAGGTGTGAGTCGGCTCTAAAAGCTTGCTGTTCACAATACTCTTATTATACAAGCTGAATCCTGTGTGAACTAGGCCTTAATAAATCAACTCTTGAGGGCAGACAGACCTAAACGTCTATTGAGCCCATGACATGCATACATTTCAGAGTTTAACAAGGAAGAGAAAGGATGATTGATGACCTGGGATAAAGAAATGGTGGAAGGATGACAGAACTGCTAAACTGAGTGTATACAAGGGAGGAGTTTGGCACACTTTGACAGCAGCTGCGAAGGGGAGAGCTGGCTGAGCACAGCAAGAAGGAAATCTACACTTCCTGGTTTTCGTAGTTCGCCTTTGTACAATGTTTGTCCTCTACACCGCCCCGTAGCTGCCAGTGTTTACCATGTGGGCATGTGGTCGGCTGCTGCTGCTGCGATCCTCGCTTGTAAACATCACGTTCCGGGTCGCTGCTCGTTGTAGCTCCCCTGCAATCACCCAGACGTCACTTCTCCGAGTCTCTCACCTCATGGAGTCTATCCCTCTACCCTCTGCACCCCAGATGGGGAGAGAAGACATTGGGGGGACGGGGGAAGCCGATGTCTCCGCACAGTGGGAACAGAAAGGTCTGAACGCTGCTCCTAGTATTACCACCGTACATTCAGCACTGTGTGATTGGAAATAAACGCCTCTCCTCCGGGTGGCTCTGTGCCAGCTAACATAGACACAGTCTGTCCCATTGTTCTGCTTAGTCTGTGTCTTTAGTACCCATTCTTGCAATGCGTTAAAAACCTGCAACGTGTTTGTGGTGTGGTGCACCCAAAACATGGCTGGGAAAATGCGCAGGAAAAATGTGGCATGCTCACAGCTGAAACTTCTGCTTGAGCTAATTTCCTGCATTTGTCACGTGTGTGCGACCCATTGATTATTTTAGCTCACGCATGGCAAACATGGGAAGAACGCACACAAACGCGTGTTCACACTACCCACAGTTTGAACAGGCCTTAGAGCCGTGCTTCTATTGTACAGTTATCCTGTTTTTGGATTCCTTCACCATTGGATAGTGCTGATGACTGCATGTGAGAAGTTAGGCTCCATTCATATATAGTGTTTGCTGCACGGGACGCAATCGCTATATGCGAAATAACTGCACGGATTCCGCTCGTTTGCGGCCATTGTATAGCCGCGAATGTGCGGAATCCGCTAAATTATTGCGCCTGCACTATTTTGGGGACTGCGCAGTGTCGTACTGCACGGTCTCTGCAATAGTATGAACAATGCACATGGAAGTGCATTGTTTTTTCTGTTTGGAGCGGCTCAGTGCATATTTGGACAGCCGCTGCAGTGTGAATGGAACCTCAAGGTGCTTATGCAGCACAATATTATTGTGAACAGAACACATTAAAGGTTATGTTTACTTTTCTGGCCATGTTTCATGTTACACCCACATTTAGTGTGTAACATGGTCACAATGGGACCCCCCATTTGCTTCTTGCCCCCGCCCATCCTTACCTGAGTTGCACTCCCCGCAGGCTAGTGTTCATTTTGTAATTTAGCATGGCCCTGCCCACATAGCATTTATGGATCCTTTGACAGAATCTATGAATGGGGAAACTACATGTCCCATCAGTCACTGTGGCAGAGGGACTCCTAGTTCTCAATGGAATACAAGTATGGTGCTATCACCGCACTTATAGTCCATTCATTCTTCCTCCCATCCTTGAATGTACATACTGTGGTATGGACAGCAATGGACAGAACAGTCTTCAGGAGCCAGAGCATTGTACCTGAAAGCTACCAATCACAGGTGCAATGTTTAAGGCCCCATTCACACTGAGCGATTTATATTTCCATGCGATATCGCTCTATGTAGCTTCTCCAATCCATTTCAATGGAGCTGTTCACATCTCGTCGCTCAATATCGCTCAATATCGCTTGTAGCTCGTTTTGGATATAGTAATGGCAGGGGGAGATTTCCCTTTACTTCCTGTTTAATAGCCACAACAGGAAGTGAGAGTAAATCCTTGTAAAGAGAGGGAAATCCCTGGTGGCCAGCAGGGTCACCAGAACTAGCATCCCCATTGGAAGATCTCCCCACTATTCTTGTTCTGGTGACAACCCAAAATGTGGGATTTTCTTTCACTTGCAGTGATGCCGGTCAAAAGGACAAATAGAGAGTGTGAATCTCCATAACAGGGACACAGACAGCAAAAAATACCTGACGGGTCATATAATCCCTCTCCACCCTATTCAAAACTAATAAAGAGTCTTGGCTTCAGTTGCACTTTAAGCCTGACATACTTGGCTTGCATTTTGCCCGTTTCCTACTATGCTGACCCCATTGGCACAGCCTGGCTCAAAAAAAGTGGATCTAAAATCAAATTATTGGCCAAACAGTGACTGCATCCTATTAGATCCAGTCACCGTTGGTGCAGTTTATAGGTGCAGCAGCTGTCTGAATACAATAGCTGGCAGTGCAGATTCTTCCATCCACACTGTTTAGCATGGATAAAGGGATCTATTGATTTTCGGGCAGAATAAGAGAAATCTATGTTTGCATGGCTAGCTTTAAAGTGGCCCTGTCACTACTGGGTCACTTACAATAAAAACGCCTGCTCTGTTAAAAAAGAGGCTGGAAGCACAGCAGCTTCAGTGCTCTCCTGCTGCTGTAGATATTCCACACTTGTGTATGTATGAATACCTGCTTCCCTGCTGTACACTGTTGTTTTTCCTGAGGATTCATACGTCACTACAGGACATACAACTCAGCTGAAGGAATCATTGCATGTGGTAGAGGTAGCAGGTGTTGAACCCATGCTGTAGCAGTAAAGTGGCGGCCCTGTGGTGACAAAGTGGAACTAAAGTCCTCATACTGGTGATGGGGTCTTGATACTAAAGGTGCCCATTACATTGACGATGTAATGGAAGTAGTGGAAATAAATTAGTAAAGGTCATGAAGCACCTGAGCTATGAGATAGCTTTTGACACTTTTGTCTTGCGAGGGTTGTAAAGTAATAAAAAAAATGTACGATCTGCCCATCTTGGACAGGCAGATCGTACTCGATGACTGCAATGCTGAACGGGCGGTGTGCGCGCACGCACACCGGCCCGTTCGGCAGTTGTCTCTCGATCATGTTAAAAACCAGCCGAAAATCGTACGATTCTCGGCTGGTTTTCCAACATGCTCGATATACAAAAGTCGTGCGACCGTACAGTAGGAACGGTCACACGCCTTCCATACACTGCACCATTATCGTACGATCGCGGGATTTCCCGCGATTCTCGTACGAGAATCGTGCAGTGTATGGGCACCTTTATGCTTTGTACACCGGCAAGATTAGGTCAATCTCTCAAATTGATGTCCTTTTTTATTATTATTTAAACAAAGTTTCAAGCTCACCCTAGAAGCTGAGGATTGGCATTGGATGAGGGAAATTAGTTGCAATTTCCGACCTTTTTTGGAAAAATGAAATTGAACTGGCTGTCAGGCTATCTAGTAGCTTCGATGCTTACAGAATGTCAAAACTCAGAGCAGGATTGCAAATCAAAAATAAATCCAATATCTGCTTATTTATTCCTGCCAGTGACTCTTAGCAGAACAGGCAGGTTAGCAGAACAGCCACACAACTCATTTTTCTGAACAGGTCATGCCAGTCACTGTGTTCCTTTTGTTTCTTTTATGTTGATGATCTACAAGGGCACCCCAGTCCTTCTCCAATATTCATTCACCGAGTTTTAATCCCCTTGTATTGCATGATGCAATTTTATCTATTTATCAATTGCATTTAATCATTTGTCTGTAGCTGACTAGTCAGCCAGTGCTTCTATTTCAACATGTCAAAGACTTCTTTCAAGGACTGTATTCAAACTTTTAATCCCATCCTCCATCATTTATTAGCAGGGGTGTCCCTAGAAGCCGGGGGAAGGGGGTTGAGGTTTGGGTAAGCTGGTGGGGGTGGGGTTTGCTGGTGGTGCATTTTACCGGGAAAGGGGGGGTGTTGGTTGCTGGTATTGAATGTTAAAGGGAAGGGGGGTGTTAACATGCATCGCCAGCAACCAAAATCCCAAATGCCCCCCCAGTAATGTGCACCACAATGAAGAAACATTATAATCCTGATCCTCATATCATAATAATGGGCAGAGTGCCTCTGGCTGGGGCTCTGTCCAGCGTCTTGCCCAGCTCACTGATATCACTGGTTGCCAGGAGTTTTGTGGGACACCAGCCAGAGCATCACAGGTTGCTCTGGCCCCCCACGTGCCTCAGTGAGATGCTGCCTCATTGAGTCACGTGGGGGTCCAGAGCAACCTGTGAAACCTCAGGCTGTCTCATTAAAAGGGACAGCCCTGCTTATAAGCAGGTTAAAGCGAAACTCTGGGTACAAGAACTTTCATTTAAATAGGCCCAACACTATTACCCTTTAAACTAGTGGTGACATCATCACTGCACTACATAACCTGTAAAGAGAGCAGAGTTGTAGAGACCTTGCAGGCCCACTATAGAAAACTAAAGGGTGGAAGATACAAGACCAGTCACCCTGCACAAGCAGAGGAAGCAACAGTGACTGGTCTTTATTACAGGAAGCTCCTGCCTAGAAGAAAATGTTTGCACTGGATTACTGCACAGATCTGGAAGAAATACACAAGGCACACCAAGATTCAAGTAACAATACACATACCTCTTGTATTTCTACAATATATATGCTTATCCCAGAGTTCAGCTTTAAAGACTAATTCCAGCAACCTCCCCCCTCCTTCTCAGTCTTTTCCCTGGAGGTCCCCTGCATGATATCTTTTTGCATGCATACCTTTTTTGGCATGTTTTCAGGACAGTCATACGATGAGCAGGATCCTCTTCCTCTTTGCCTCTTCACAGGTGATGGCGGTCCTCATTATTTCAGAGAGCAACACTGATGTCAGTGCCGCGCTCTGAAGCATTGCATTATGATTGCAGAGCCCTGTGATGTCCCACCCCAATAGAGCTGCTTTTTCATGTCTAGTTCTGGGAAATTTATTTTTTTATTCACCGAAATAGGGCTTTAATGAGTAATGGCCCCACAATTAAGCCTTGGGTTGTCCCATGTGCAGCCTTAGAACTTTCAGACTGAGACCTATTGATTATGATACAGTCTTTAAGCCAGTTTTCTATGCCTTCATGGATTAATGTTCTAATGCTTCAAAATCTGAAGGATAAGTGAACTTTAAAACAAAGAGCTCCCATCTTTATTTCCTCTTTCCCCTGACCTAACCTAACCCACCCTCCCCTTCCACAGATGCATACTTCGATTGTTTACTGTGTTTTCACTGTCCTGGCCACGCCTGAACATTACAGCCCCATAGATTTCTATGGGACTGTGTCTTGAGACCGGGTATGAACAGATCTTTTAGAGGTATCTTTAACCTCTTGCCGTCCGCCCGTTAAGAAAAAACGTACGGACGGCAGACTCGCATCAGCGGGTTGCCGTCTGCAGACGGCATTTTTTTCCTGCTCGCGCGCGCCCCCGGGC